GGCTGCACTGCCTTCTGACAAGCCTTGCCCGGAAGTCGTAAATCACGCCAGGGGTTGGACGTCTTAGGACCTGCTCCCATTGCTTTCGAGCATCTTCCTCCTTTCTCACGCCCAGCTCCGTCAGGGCCCGGGCCTGTCATGCAGTGTGGAACAAAGTCGTGCCGCGTGCGGGAGGCGGGGCTTATCTCAAGCCGCACAAACTGCACTCAAGCTCGAGGGTAGCCTCTCCCTTTTTGACACTTCATCTTGCAAGCAGCAATTTCAAAGGCATTTTCCCTTTGCTATCGATGATGGGAATGAAGGCGGTCATGAGCGCAAGCCGCTGCGACCAAACATTGAGACATTCGCCGAGTTATATCTCAAACGTAGCATTCTCGGGAAGTAGCTTTGGCCTCTGCTTGGTCCAGGAAATGCTTGCATAGTCCTCATATCCATGTGTGCCGTTCTTGGGCGCCCTTCCAATGCATGCAGCGAAGAGGGTCGACATAGCACCACCCAGCGAGTGGCCAAACACGGAAACTTCTTTGCAGTATGGAAGACGTGGGCGGATGTTCTGCTGCCATGATGGGACTTGTGTCATCCGGTAAAGTTCGGCCCAAAAGCCTGAATGCACGAAAGAATCACCGTCGCGCTGCACACGGCAGTCCCCTCTGCATGTGGGTAGCGGCCACGGACAGCATCGATCGTCTGGCAGGGTTAGACCACAAAATTCTCGAGTGATACCCCTGGCATTTTGCGACCAGTCCACAGTATCATAGGTGCCTTGAAAAGTCACAAGGCACTCCAAGGTTTGCGGATGCTGGACGAGGTAGGAAACCTGCTCACCGAATTGCCACCAATTGGGCCACAAGGGCGCGTCCAAGATCATTCTGGAGTCTCCTGGTTGATACCTTGCTGCACCGACCACACGAAAGCCTCCTTGACGCGCAAGCTCAGCGCCTTTCTCTGCATCTCGGGTGTACGACAGATCCAGTGCCCAATTGCCTCCGTATTCATACACACAGAAGATCAACATTGAATCGAACTTGATTTGATGCAAAAGTTCAGTGGAAAGGGGCTTCGGCTACTCAATAGCAGCCGAGCGACTCAATCGTTTCACGAATGTGTTGGAACTTCTCGCAGCCACTTGGTTAAAGTACGTCCCACTGTGGAGAGACCAGTCTGCTCGAACCAACCATGTCGAATTAGGCCAATGCTGAACATTGCTCAGCGTGCAGGGATAGTAGCGGTCTTTGGATGGGTCGTCGACATCCAAAAGGTAGAGATCCATGCGAGGGTGCCAAAGGCTGACCCTGGAAGCTAGCCATGCTATGGGATCTGTTTGCTCCATTTCGCCTTCTGTTCGCAGGGTGACAACCCGTGCTCCCGGAAAACAGCCTCCGTCGGCGGATCTCAATTCGAAACCCGGCGAAGCTGACCCCGGGGCTCCGAAGGTATAAAGTCCATCCACAGTGCCTGGCTCACCTTGTATGGGTAATCTCAGTTTCCAAGGCTAAACCGAACCACCTTACCACTAAGTTTAACCCTCGGGTCATCCGGCTGTCGGATTCTATTTATGCTTTCCAGGCTCGGAACGACCGCATACGCCCAAGGCAAAGAGCCCTCCTCACATCTGATGTCAGCAGGCTCTCAGCCCGAGCCTCTGCCGCCACTGCCGCATGAAAAGAACCACGAGGAGCCAAGGTCCAGCTTCTCGTCGCCTGAAGCTGTCTTGGTCTTGGACTGCAAGAGGCCAGCATCCTCGCACTGCTCCTCTGCACTCGTCTTCACCTCTGTGCTTAGTGCAGATCAAACATAGACATAGATAAGTTAGATAAGATCTGGTGCGTGCGTGGGTTACTGAAACCGCATCCACACAGATCGCAGGGCTCTCTGTGAGGATGCGACCACCCTGGACAACCCCCTTAGACTTATTTGCGGTCAGAAAACAATCATTCCGAGGAGGATCGCGTATGTCAGCATCGCTGCGCTTAGTGCGTCTGCAGAGGCTCGGCGGAGACTGGTCGAGGACCTGAGCCCTAAATGGCTGCATACGGCAACTCCAGTTAGCCAGTCAAGAGCCTGTGTGAGGTGCTTGATTTTGCCTTGATTGCAGTATGCTTCCTGGTCGTTGGCCGGAGGAACCGTGTTGACAAAGGCTGTCGAGACTGAAGACACTTTGATGGCTGGCAGTCCATGCAGATTGCAATCTACGAGGTGCGTGATGGTGAGGCATGGATGCGGGCCGCGAGCATTTCCGGTCAGGCAGCATGCCGAAGAAGCTTTGCATATATAATATCAGATCTGCATGTAGGATACAGCAAACACTTACCATCTCTTGCTTCAGCTAGAGCAGTGCAACTAAATGAATGGCGGCAGCTGCAGGAAAGACTGGTGCAAACCTCGGAAAACTGGCGCAAAACAGTGCTTCGCGCGGATTGGATGCGGCAAACATGCTCGCTTGCCGCTGACCCCCTGGCCCTGCAACTTCCCTTATGCCTCAGAGCTGTGAAGCTGCGCTGCTTCGTCTGAAAGCTGTTGTAAGCGACATTCTAGCCTCACGCAAGCAAGCAACCAATGCAGGCGGGCTGTCCGCGAATGGTGTTGATGCAGTTCAGCTCTGGCGAGGTGCACTCATGCCCAAACCGATGCCGCGACACGTCGACGGGATTGAAGAAGTCTAAGGCACCAGCTCCCGGGTTTTTTGCTGCTGTTGCTGCAGCTCCTGGGTTGGAGGCACGTCTGCCAATGCAAGAAGCCTTCTTTGCATAGCTTCCAGCGCTGAATGGAAGGAACTGCCGGCAGGCTTCAGACTGCCACGTTGACTGGGCGCGAGCCGTCGAAGCGAGTTCTTTGAGAAGCTTCCGACGCCTCAGCTCTGCGGGTGGAAGGTCTAAGGTATGAGCGGCGCAGTTCCACTGACATCTGTCCGTGGGTAGCCTACGTGACTGCCTGGGCATCGTGCATTTCCTGCTTCTTTTGAGGTTCTGCTGAGACCCTGGCTCGATGATGTCTGACAGGCCTCGAAGAAGCTCAGCGGCACCGGCACCTGTCGGCGACTATAGCATCGTGAGGATTCGGAAGCCTCCTTCTTCACTTTGCGCCAGCGCCGGCCGCTGTTCCCTTCCGGGACCCTTTCCCACGTCGCCACCCTCGGCAAGACCTGCTTTCCCCCCGCTTCTCCTTCCCCGGCCAGCGGGCACCTTCAGTGGGCACAGAGGTTTGATGCACCTCAGAACTTTCAAGACGGGGTCAGTGAGACAACGCTCTGGAAACATTTCGGCCCTCTTCAATTGCAGCGGTGCCTGGGCGGACGCGAAGCGTTTACAACCAAGTTTCTGGTAGCATAATTTGCTTGCCGTTTGAAGGTTGCACAGAGTAATCCTAAGGGCATCGTCGGATTCGACAAACCATTTGTGCTGGTGGCCTGGCGGTCCGGCAATGCTGGCACCTTGGCTTGAAGATGTGCGGTCCCGTCTCTCGGCTACCTCCTCCAGCAAGGTAGCCGGAAGCAACAACTCTTGCATTCAAGCGGCGCATGCTGGATCGCTTGGCAAAGGGCATGTCCGTCACACTTGGTCTGCTCGGGGCTGGTCCCGAATCCTTGGCTGAGCCGCCTTCCTTTTCATGCATGTTATTTGCCACTGCCACTCGTAATTTCATTCTTCAATCCTCCTCCACGTGGAAATCCCTTCCCCCTCCTACTGAACACAGGCAATCAACGTCGATTCTCTGCCTCAAAGCCCCCCGGGGAAGT